CTCTTTCAGGAGAGTCATTTTCCTGCCAAAACTTTCACCCTCTCGTACACGAGACTCAGACTTGCGTAAGGGTTAGTATCGTGTTCTTGCGGTGGCATTTGTTCGAGGAACGCAGTGCAGCAGAATTTCGACATGCACATACAGGCTTGCTTATTTGGGAGATCTAAATGGCACTACTTCCACTGTGTTTTCATTAACTGTCAAAATTCGATTATGTTCCTCTCCACGGCGGATGGGCCAGCAACGCCAAACAAACTGCATGTGTTAACACATAGAAGATTTTAGGCCCCCGTTCTCTTCCAGTCTCCTTGCCAAGAATATTCACTGTTTGTATCTTTAAAATTTTTACAACACTCAGACAAAGCAGCTGTAAAAAAAAACTGTTCAAAAAATAGGATACGAATCAATGGACTTTCCAAGCTCTGCAGGTGATAGGACAGAGAATGTGCAAGATTGATGATGAGAAGATGGACAGTAAGAGGAAGAAAATCTAATAAATAGCAACGCGCACCAGACTAGCCGGTACGATCATGCGTTTTGTGCAAGTAATTGTAATAAATAGCAACGCGCACCAGACTAGCCGGTGCGATCATGCGTCTTTGTGCAGTTCAACCCATCGAACGATTGCCTGTTAATGATTTTCACTTCCTTGTATTTTAGTCTATGCAAAAATAGTTCTACCATAACGATATTTGCCTGTTAATGATTTTCACTGCTTTGTACTTTAGTCTATGCAAAAATAGTTCAAACATTGAAAACCAGACGTAATGATTTTTACTTCCTTGTACTTTAGTCTATGCAAAAATAGTTCAAACATTGAAAAACAGTTAAGAAAATGATTTTCACTGCTTTGTACTTTAGTCTATGCAAAAATAGTTCAAACATTGAAAAACAGTTAAAGATTTCACTTCCTTGTACTTTAGTCTATGCAAAAATAGTTCAAACATTGAAAAACAGTTAAAAACTTTTCACTGCTTTGTACTTTAGTCTATGCAAAAATAGTTCAAACATTGAAAAATAGTTAAAAATTTCATGCACCAGTTCACTGCTTTGTGCTTTAGTCTATGCAAAAATAGTTCAAACATTGGAAAACAGTTAAAAATTTCAACAGACTAGCCGGTGCGATAATGCGTTTTGTGCAATTCGGCCCATCGAACGATTGCCTATTAATGATTTTCATGCTTTGTACTTTAGTCTATGCAAAAATAGTTCAAACATTGGAAAATAGTTAAAAATTTCACACACCAGTGCTTTGTTCTTTAGTCTATGCAAAAATAGTTCAAACATTGGAAAACAGTTAAAAATTTCACGCACTCTTGTACCTTGTCTATGCAAAAATAGTTCAAACATTGGAAAACAGTTAAAAATTTCACGCACCAGCGTATGAAAGCTAAATAGCAAAATAGTTCAAACATTGGAAAACAGTTAAAAATTTCACGCACCAGCGCATGAAAGCTGAATTCGAAGCCTTGAAGGGTGAACATCTTTCCGTATCTCCGGAGTTAATAATTTACCCGCCAAAATTCTCACGAG